GGTCTAGTAGACTTTTTCTAGTGAATAAGATCAAGGAACCTTGCATTTCATAGGTCGTATAGCACGGAAGTGCTGTTCCTGATTTTAATCGTCAAATATCGACTTTTCCGAGTTGTTTTAATTAATTATTGGGCGTCCGTTTTTTTTTTCTTCCTTTTTTTTTGTACCGCATTCTAAGTTTGGAAAATGACTTCAAAATATTTACTCTCCAGTGGCTGAAGCTGGCCAATCAATCCAAGGCGAGCGCCGAAAGACAATAGATATCCCGCTTCGAAGCACAGGACACTTGATGCACTTGCGAAACTCTGGTCGCATCGCTTCAATCTCGTCCTCTTACAGCAAGTTTGAAAAAATGTCCGCACACAACATTGAGCGGCTGTTGGACATCTCCAACTTCCCATATGAATTGATAATGCATTAAGTTACGTCGTTGTGACCCAGTCGCCCCCACAACCAAAAAGGACCCCCCTCTCTCCTTCTGAACACCAATAAGCCTGTGTGTCTCACTTGTCTAACTCTGACCGTGCTCAGTCTGAGCCGAAGTTTAAAAAAAAAAATATTCTGTATACGTTTTCTTTCGCGCTGTACACCGAAAACCCCGGTTCCTATAGATACACTTTAAAGACAGCAGTGTGACAGTCGCGCACTGCAATGAATAGACTGCCGTTATACAGCGTTGAAGTACTATATCAGAATATCGAGGGAAGGTTGACCGCTTCGTGCGCCAACAAGGTGTTTACAAACAAGCCTGCGTTTGCCCCTCACGGGGGTGGGCGCTGCGCGAGCCCAGACACCAGATTCGGGAGAAGTGATTCATGTGCGCATGCGCGGTGGGGACAGCAGCGCCACCGCAGTGCTGTGACGTGAGATGGCTTACTCGGTGTGTACGCCATTGGCTGTCTTCCAAATCTCACCCAAATACTGTCAAGACCGGTTATAACGAAGTCGGTTGTAACGAAATAGCGGCTACAGTGAAGCGATTTCCCATTTTCTTCTGCACCTCGTTATAACTGAAGTCGGTCATAGCGAAATTGTGGATATAGCGAAGTGATTTACAATTCCCGTTGACTTCGTTATAACCGGTCGACAGTAGATCAGAGTTACTACCGCGGGTCGCGTCACGTAACACAAATTAAAAAAAAAAAAAAGAAACGCTGGATGCGGGTACGTTTTAGAACGCCAAGCTACACGACCCTTACCCTAGAGTGAGATGGAGTAAAGTTTGGAACGCGGCCATTAGCAACGCCTGGTTCGCTTCTGGTATTGATATATCTTCGCGGGCCACCCCAGTTTCCTCCGGGCTCTCCACTTCAAAACAAGATAAGTGCACGCGGCCGCCGCTCCAACCTGACGCAGATTTTCTCTCCGCCGTATATGCGAGCTGGATTCACTTTGCGTGTAAGTATAACTCTGCACTTGACCTCCCAGCGCTATCTGGCCGTCGCCGGATATCTCCCATTCTTACGCCGATAACGGCAAGATGCGACTTCGGCCTAGGCGACGACGCTCCATCGGCTTCCGCGTCCCTGATGTAAGATCGCTGTCGTCACGGAATACCGCTAGAATGTCCCGTTTAACCGCTACACACGCTTGGCACGCATATTTAACTGTAAAACGTCCAAGGTCAGGATGCCGGAAGTATATGTGCGTCGAGATGCGCTATGACAAGCCCATTTTGTGCTTCGGTATAAGGAAAGCTCCAATCATCGTGATATACAAGAAGTGAAAAGAGTTACGTGTGGAAGTATTATATAAAATAGTTTATTTGTGTTTTTAATATTTCTGGTTGGTGACAAATTTTTGTGGCATTTCGCGAGTCAAGAGTGCGCGAATGCTGTTTTGATCGCGGTTCTGTATGTGCGAGCGCCCTACAAGGTCTGGTATACCAACCCTGAAGTTTATCAAGAGATGCCCCAAAATTAACTATTTTGATACACCAGCCATTGCAGCGGGAGCGTAAGACCGCAAACATGTTTATTTTTTTTTTATTTTAAGCAACGAGGGTTGGTTGTTGAGAAGACATATTGGAGATGTTTCTAGGAACAGTTTTTAAAGTGTGTTCGCGCCGTGGGACGTGAACCTTGAGATCCAAAGAAGCTATTCGCACTTTTCGTGACCTGTGGGGGGCGCGCTAGTTTCTATCAAACTGGCTGTCATTTGGAATATCGGCTTAGAACAGCAGTACGAGGTTAGGTGTGCGACGCGTAGGTAATTCAAATTTTGTGAAATACGAACGATATAAGAACCGCACTTTGTACTTCCACGTCAGGACGGTGTAAGCAAGCAGGTTTATTGTGAAGTCGATCATCCTGGAGCTATAGGGAGCGCGATTCCCACACCGTGGTTCCACCATTGCTGAAAGTTGCGAATCATCGTCCGTTTGCAGTTACAAATTTCCCGACTACCTCAAACAGTGCCCAATCGAAGTATACAAAGATAAAATGTAGATAAATAGCCGTTATGTATATAAACTAAATAACTAATCAATAAATGGTTGGCGTAAAAAAAATTACTGCGTCTTAAAAAAAAAGAAGAAAAAGTTTTTATTTTGGAAAGGAATTATTGCAAAAAACACCATGAAGACTGCACCTTTCTGCAAGACAGCAGCTTGCCACTTCACTGTGAAACTAAGTTATCGCTAGGTGACTCTTAGTTCCGCTCTTTCCTTTTCTTCATACAATTTCATCGAATACAATTATCAGTCACACTTTGTTTAAAAGTATGCAATACCTTTTTTTTTAGAGCTCAAACTGACAGTTCATTTAGAGGAATCTATGGAGTCGTTGATTCTAATTAACCGTCACTGGCGAATGCATGCATGCCCTTCGAGCGCATGTATGTACACGGAAGCTGTGGTCACGTGACACAATGCCAATGGCTGATTGGTTCGGCGAGTCCGTGACTTCCGCTACAGTGTGCCTGTAGCGAAAGTGGGAATGCCAGCTCGAAGGAGGGAGGGGGACGCGTGCAAGAAGGAGAAGCGGTCGCTCCCGTTCCTGTAAGAGCAGCGACGCTGGAAGCGCCAGTAACTGTCGATTTCGGCAACCGGTGGCATCCGGAGGGGGCGCGACAATAGGCGGCGGTGTGCCACAGCTGTACCTCGCAGGCACTTGTGAGAGCACAGCGGAAGGGCGAGTAAAGGCGAGGATGCCCAGCGCAGATTGATGGACGCACGACCAGTGGTCATTTGACCCGGGGGAAGGCGAAGCCCCGCGCATCTCGCGCTAATGAGACTTCCACTTTGGCTCGCGCCCCGTGACTTGGGGGAGACGGACAATTAGCCTGCTTGACCGCTCCCGCGACCCCCTCGTGGTGTCCACTCTGCGGTGATGGACGAGGTTTTGAGGGACAATTGGACACGACGGTCACCAGGCCGGAGCACGAGGGGTATTCACCCCGAAGCTGACGGTGCAATTGAAAGCTGCCGTCGTATACGACCAGTTCTGCGCTTATTTTTTGCCACGTGATCACGCTGCCGCCCGTACCTACGCGCGGAGTGCAGGGGTGAAGGGACGAAAGGAAGATGGCTGATCGGTCCGGCAAACGAGTAGCTCCCAATGCACTGTCAGCTATAGGGGTGAACCAAGTGTAACGGGAGAGACACAGGTCCCGTGAAGCGAGTGAGGCGTTTCGGCGGATCAGAAGGTTCGGTGGAAATATGAGCGGCGACGTCCAGTCCGTTTAGCCCGTTTAAGGGAACTGTGGCGAGGTCAAGCGTTCCTCGAAGTGTGAACGCTTAGGGAGGAGGGGAAAGATGGAATCCATATGTGCGGCTGAACCACGCGTGGTCTTGCTTGATTGGTCGGGCAATCAAGCGCGTGGGCGCGCAAGTGGAGGGGACGGGTCTCGATGCCCGCACCCGGGCAACTCTCGAAGGGGGGTTGTTGACCCATCGGAAAATGAATTGATTTCAAGATCAAGGTGCGGCAGACGTTGGTGTCCTTAGAGGACGCTTCACGGTCGAGATCATATGGGGGGTATGCCAGAAAAAGAGACAGAGCACGAGTGAAATTTTGAAAGCAAAAAAAAACATTAATCGAGGTGATCTCGAAGCGTGGCAGGAAGCGACAACTATATTTGAGGAAAGGGGAATATTTTGACAGTCGAAGAAGCATTCTACTCTCGAGGTATTACCCGTTAATACGGACGGCCCGCTATGCAAACACTTTCGGGGACAAACTAGGTAGACAAAGTGATTTTTGTCTCTGTTACACACAACTCATATTGTGGTCGCTTTTTTGGGGAAACGGAGGTGTTATATTAACAAGAAAATCACCGAGTAATGCCGACAGAACTTAATTTTGTTCCATTCTCTCCGGTATAGCAGATCCCCTTATTAAACGCCTCCCGTACAACTAAGTAACTTGTACTTAACTGATCAGCGTTTAGAGCGCTCCAGTTAAAGGTACTCGAAAACGCGTACAGTAGTGGGACTAGTGAATCGCCATAAGAGCTTTGAAATTCCACCGGCGTCGACGTAATCGCGGAAGTATTTATCGCACATCTTAATACTTATATGAGTTGCAACAACGCAGGCGCCTTTATAGCGTCTTTGGTTCGCGGAAAGAACCAAACCTAACTAACTACAGAGATGGGCGCTAAGAACGTTCGAGTGTAGCTCGAACTATGCTGAAGTGCACAAGAGTCATCGTAGAGATTGCTCCGCCCGTTTTGCTCCAGTGCTAGACGTATGAGCGTTGCCTTTACGACGCAGTTCACATGCCATTTCTAGAGTCTTCAGAAATACGAATAACCCATTCGACTATAGGCGGTTCCAGGCGGCTAGGCTGGATTCCATGAAGCCAGGTATTGTGGGCCTGGCTAAATGAAACCAAACGACAGGAAATAATCAACGTTGGATATAACCTCTTTCGAAAATTTAAGTGGCTGTAGCTCAAGTGGGCTCTTGTCCCGCGGCATAAACTGCCTCGGCGAATGGGTCTTTGGTCTCGTGGGACACTGTCGAAGCTCTGCATGCACGACACGAGGTTCGGACTCACCCCTGCCGCTCCTGCCGACGAAACGGAGGTCGTTGAACTTGGCCACCTGGTTCTTCATGACGGCCGACGCGTTCCTCAGCTCCCCGCAGTAGTTCTCGTCGTTGCCCGCCCGGAGGGTGACCAGCGTGCCGTCGCAGACATCCCCCCCGAGCGCCAGCACCCGGAACGACATGGGCAGCGTCTTGTTGGAGCGCCAGTGGGTCGGCAGCACGGAGCACACCACGTTCGGACTGCCGGTCCTCATCAGTTCGCCGGGGTGCTCGGCCAGCACCTGGGTCAGCGCCCGCTCGCCTGGGAGCATGGTCGCCGTCGAAGAGGCCAGTTCCGAAGAAGACGATGTCGTGGTCGACGTCATGATGCCTCCGCCGCCGAAGCCGCCTCCGTTACCGCACACGGGCAGCACCGTCTCGTGTGCGATCGCGCACGCCGGTAAATGCATCGGAGAAACTCGAAACCGAAACCGAACGTAAGAAGAAAAAAACAAAAAGCGAGCGCGCGTTTCGGGGACGTTCCTGCGCAGGCGCGGAAAGAAGTGAGCCGATGAACCAAGTTTTGGGGAATAGCGGGACGATGAAATAAATAAAAAGAAAAAGGGTTAGCGAGGAGTAGGGCACGCCGAGGCGGGGGCTGCGGGCGGTGCGCGCGGTGATGCGGGAGGCGAGTGGAGTGCGTTGCGGAACACCGCTCCGGCCTCATTGACACCGGGGCGAGGGGAGACGGGAGAGAGTCCGGAGCGGTTGCGGATTGGCGGTCGGCTCGCGTGACGTAGATAGGCCGCCGACCAATGAGGTACGCCCACCGTGCCCCACCGGCTGCGGTTTCGCGTTTGGTTTCGTTTTCTTGCGGGCGCGCGCGTGCGTCCGGCGAATGGACCCCCCCCCCCCCCCCCTTCCTTCCCTTTCGCCCCCCCCCCCCCCCCTCCCCCATCTTCCCCTATCCCGCTCGTTCGGTGCCTCCGAATTTTCGCGCTTTCCAAAAGTTTGGAGGAACTTCGTGGATGGCGGACTTCCGTCTAAAATCACACGTGTACATCGCGAAAATCAAATAAATAATCAAGATGTTTTCGGGACTTTCGACGGCCCGAGTGCAGAATAAGAGAACTCCGAAATGTTACATAACATTTTAAAACTTTTGTGCCTCCGTCCTCTACGTTGACCGTCAAACTGAAAGGTATCGAGGAAGGGCTCTCTATTACTGTGGATCTGTCACCTTTTTCCGTGGTACAAGACCCTTGAGAACTATTAAAAGAGCGAATGCAGCGAGCAGTCGCGATGCTGTGTTCCCTGCAAATTTACTAAAAAGATCAGGCAATTGATATGCGTGATTGTTTCATTCTAAATCCCACTTAAAGCTCCATAGCGATATTTTCAACTCTTGTCGACAGACGCAGCAACAACGTGGCCTTTTACCATTTATTGAAAGTTCGAAGAGCAAGGAGCATGCCGAATTTAAACTTTGAATTGTGCTACTTTGTTCATTGTAATCTGCAAAACTTAAAAGCGCGAAAAAAAAAGCAAAAAAAAAAAAAAAGCACACACACACGGACGAGGAAGAGACACATACACTATACGGACTGGCGCCAGTCCGTGTTGTAAGTGTCTCTTTCTCGTCCGTGTTTTTGCAATTTTAGTTTCTCAAGGGGCATGCTGTTTTTGTTGCAGCTACACGCACTGCACGTGCTCGTCATGTTCGTGCATGCCCTCCCAGATTCTTGGCGCGCAGCGCCCGTGTCTAAAGTAAGGCAATGGCGAAGTTGCGTCCAAAGTGTATTTTGTTGTAGATTTTCGCTTTAAAGATTATTGCTGCAGAATAGATGGCAGTGAGCACAGTATGTAGATAAAAAACTATACGCGAAGATCGCCTTCTGTGTCAGTGAAGGCAAAGCTATGGTGTCTCGCGCGCTCTTGTCCCGGGCTCCAGGCTGTCGGGGGTCCCGTATTGGCCCTCGGAAATTTTAAATGTGCGAGTGGTTTTAATATAAAACAACTCAGACCAAGAAAAGAATGAACACTTAAAAGGACATTTCTCTTATTCCTTCCCTCCCCTTGAGCACTCGAGAATGTTAGCAAGAAGATCAGCTGTGGTATGCGCGGTGAGAAGCTCTCTAGGGGCGCTTCCGTTTTCCTCACTATGGGTAGTGCACGTGCTGTCCACGCGGTTATGTCTTAATTTTCATAGTGCATAGAAGCTCGGCATTGCACGAGCTTGCACTAGCAGAGGAAGTTGAAGTATCCCCACTCTGGGTCGTGAAAAAATTCCACCAGGCGGCGGTACCTCAACTTCTCGGCGCGAATACACCTAAAAAAGTCATAGTCAAGTCGAGTTTGGGGAATTTTACTTGCCAAATTAAGTGCTACGAGTTAACATTATGATAAACTTGTGTAAACCATGGCGCTGCACTCTATAAATCGAGTTGTAGTTCCGGTCAAGCAAATTCATGAACGGAGTCAATATCTTTAATGGAAGTTCTTCAGTTTTCCTTATGGAGCTGCTGAATGTGTGGACAAACTTTGGAATGAGTATTTCCCCCTATATTTTTTTTTTAATTTCAGTATTGCACCTCAAAATTGCTAGATGAAAGGGCTAAGGCGATTCATTATTTTCTTCGCAAATATTGAATCGCTTTGTTGCAAGCTAAGGAGACTTGAATTATATCGAATGTCCATTTAGAGAACAGGCTCAAGAAAAATCATAAGATGAAAAATATCTCGATTTTACGTCGTTGCACAACTGTTACTAAGGCCACTTAACATCCGCAAGAGTCAACAAAAGTTAGAATTGCAGAAATAAATAAGTAAATTATATATATATATATATATTTCTTCGAATTAATGAAACCTTTTTACTTGTATACTAGCTGGGCTGACGATGAATAGGAAGCATAACAATGCAACAGAGCTCTTGCGAGGCAAGCGTCATCTGGCTTGGCCTTGTATGTTTCCGTTCCACGTTGATGTTATGAACTACAGTTACAAGAGAACATACACCAAGAGAAGCTGCATGAACTTCGAGTAAATTTCGTTTTGTTTACGCTGGCCAATCGAATCCATTAAGGCATCAAAAAATTTAAGACTACGAGAATGGCTACTGACGTTGGAGCATAAACCTTCTTTTAGCATATCTGAATACCAAATAAGAGAAAAAGCAAATATACGTTAGAGTTGTCACAATAGAATGTGAGGATGTTAAGGAAACTTTCGAGTCACTTGACAAATTTGTTGAAGTTAACACGTTGTGGCCTTAAAATCTATTTGGGCTCTCATAAGGTTTTCGCGGTTTTTAGCAACTCTTTTGAGAGTCATTAACATTGTCGAAGAAAAAAATACAGAACGCGGAAATATGTGAAGCTCGCAAGTGAGGTAGACCTCAGTACCTTTATGATGAAACTATTAGAGGTGCGTAGAAACCGTGAAGGTCAGTCTGACGATCTGTGACGTAATGACATGTCCCCTTAGATCTGTTCAGGTAGGAACACTCAAAATCCATCTTGTAATATTTCGTAGTATAACTATGCTGACAACTTTCGTTGGAGTCAGTGTACTCGTGTCTCTACGTAGATCAGCCCAAAATGTTACGGGGAACAGAATATGTCAATTACCTGTTTTATTCAGTGGTTAATGCCACGTAGCTGGCTGACAACTTTCATTGGAGGCAGTAGTAGAAGTATAAAAGCTAGAAGAAAAGATTAATTAAAATAACTTGATCGAAAATTATGCAACCGAGTTGATAATAAAAGTAGTTAATATCAAAATTGCCCAAAAGCCTGGTGTGTAGTGAACTTGAACAATCCATGGGTGTACCGTTACAGAGCGGTGATTATGAGATAAGCCACACTGCGCGAATACATAAGTACACTGCGCGACAGAAATAGCGCGAACACTATATTGTGAATTTTGTGCACTTCACTAACACATTTGACTAAGACTCTGCTTAGCATGGAGCTCCAAACGAGCGTTCTCCACTCCACTAAGTATTTATATTTAATAAAAAAACTTAACTTTTTTATAATAAAAAAGCGATCGCTTGTTTTTGCTAACAATAATGAATTTTCGTACATATATTGTACGTAAGAACTTTGCGTTGTTAACGGGAGCTCGGGCCGTCACTTTTGAGCATGAATTGGGCACGTGCGAGCAAGGCCCGCAATTCGCAGTGCACGATCTACGAAAATCCGTTAGTTGAACGCTGCAGCGTGCATTGATCTGAATGCCTATTTCGAGAGGACATCAAAAAGCCGTATATATGAATACCAGCCTTCAAATTTAATATCTCAGAAATATAACCGCAGAAATAGCCTTCTGATGCTTTGGGAAGGATGACTTACATGACCGATGGGGGTCAGCCGAGAGTAATTCGGTTTTGAACACGGTGGTTTGGTCTTCTTCAAAAAAACATTTACACCAGCTTGGTCCCGTCCAAATCAGCCTCACCCCCATCGCACGCTGATAGCATGCACAACCCACACACCTCATGCGGGAGGTAGCTGAAAGCATACTAGCTATGTCCTACGGTGTTTGTCAGCATGATCAAGCTATGTGTAACCTTTATGTGTAACCTTTTGACTTTCAAACAAACTGTTATAACCATAGCGCATTTGCCCTAGCTGCTTAACTCTGTAATAGTATTTAAAACAAATATCTGCTCAGCTTATTTGGTATGTTATCTCTGGGAGTCACTTGGTATCTCTGGGAATCTTAACCCCCACGCCTCATGCGCATGGTAGTCCAAACATGCCATGTCCTCCGGTGTTTGTCAGGATAGTTTAAGCTAGTGTATCCGTTTTACTTTATAAACCAACTGCTACAGCTGAGCGAATCTGCAATGCTTAACTCTGTAATAATAGTTAAATAAAATATCTACTCAGCTTAGTTGGTATACGGTATCTCTGGGAATCACAAATCATACACCTCATGCGCATGGTAGTTCAAACTTCAAAGCATGCTCTGTCCTCCGGTGTTCGTCAATTTGATCAAGCTAGTGTATCCTTTCGACTTTATAAACCAACTGCTATAGCTGTTCCAGCGTATTTTCTCTGCTTAACCCTGTAATAACAATTCTTAAAAAATCTGCTCAGCTTAGTTTGTATGGCATCTCTGGGAATCACTTGTATCCCTGGGAATCCTTTTGTATCTTTGGGAATCTCAACCCATGGCACACACCTCATGCCTATGGTAGCTCAAGGCATGCTATGTCCTCCGGTGTTTGTCAGTGTGATGGAGCTAGTGTAACGTTATGACTTTATAAAGCAACTGTAATGGCTGAGCGCATTTGCCCTCCTTAACTCTGTAATTTTTTTTTTTTTTTAATATCTGCTTAGCTTAGTGGGTACGGTATCTCTGGGAGTCACTTGGTTACAAGTTC